AAGCTTGAGTGGGGCAGAGGGTGCAAGAAAGAGAACTTAAAAAAAAAAAAAAAGTAGTAATGGAAAGGACAGACCTGTAGTGCTCTGGGAATACTCTTACAATTAAAGAGGAAACCTCTCCAGATAGGAAGTTAAGCTTTACTCTAAAACAAAACCTAGCTAGCCCCCAGGATACAACAGCAGTTATAGTAACATGAATGCTTAGTGTTCACTGAGCTTTCCCAGTGTTCAGGACACTGTTCTGATGCATCTGGTAATTCATTTAATCTTCATACTATAACCCCATGAAGTGGGCCCTTCATCCCCTCCATTTTACATGTGAGGAAACTGAGGTGCAGAAAGGGTATGCAACTTCCCCAAGGTCACATAGCTAGTAAGTGGCAGTGTCTGGAAGAAACTATCTGCCCTAGCAACCTTTCAGCTTGGTCTTGGAAATAAAACAAGATTTAAGGGTTAAAGGGCTTTGAAAGGCAAAAAGTACTATATTTTAGAAGATGGTATGTTACTGTTTAGAAATTCTAGAAGACAGAAATTGTTGGTTTGTAGCCCAATCTTAGAGAGGTCAGGAATTTCATATAACATGCAAAAATTAAAGGTATTTACTTAGAGGCCAAAATGAATGCAAAGCCATTTCAACTGCTTGCCCACTGAGTCCCAGGGACTTGATGGTTTCTATCATAGACTACATCTTTATATAAGCCAGCTGCAGACTGGGAGGTTAGGGCAAATTTGAAGCCAAAAGATTGCTTGTTCAGGTGGCCAATGGATAACGCTATTGTTCCTCACCTAAACTAAGGCAGTTTCCCATTTATCTGGGGGAAGTAGAATCTCCATGAAGAGTAAAGTGGGGTGGGAAAGGGAGATGACAACGCCAGCTCTGCTTTTCTGGCAGCCCAGGAGCAGTGGAGGAAGCTTACTACTTTACTTTTGCACAAATAGAGTTATTGAGCTTTGTACACCACTGACACCAGTGATAAATCATTCACTCTTTTGGCACCCTTCATAGCCCTAACAAAACAAAGATGGCATTCGGAGCAGGAGGTGAAAGACCTGCCTGCACAAGGCAGCCCTGGTCCACAGAGATGCTGGGCATGGAACTGGCTTTGCCTCCTTGCACATGAAGCTGGAAGCAGCTCAGATGACTCCATTACCCCCACAGAACAGCCTCAAGGCTCACCTTTCCTCTGCCAGGGCTTCCAAGCTCTTCTTCAGAGGCTCCTGATTCAGCGTGTCACCTCCCAACCCTTGCTGCTCTTAGTGTAGATATGGAATCCAGAGGATCACACTTGTCCCAATGACCTCCCTCAGATGCATTCAGCAGAAAACAAGTGAGGGAGATGACAGGGACCCTAGCATAGACTGAGCAAGTTCAGTGAAGGGGATACTGCCTTCCCTGTTTTATAGGTGAGGAAGAAAATGAGGCCCAGAGAGGTTAATGTGCCCAATCCAGGATTTAAACTTGTCTTCCAACTGTACTCATTGAATACATATTTAAGTACTTGCTGTATCAGCCAGCACCAGGCAGTGGGAAAACCATGGTGAGCAGATATGCCTTCATCCGCATGGAGCTGACAGTCTATGGAGGAGACAGACATGAAACAGTCACCCTAGGGCATGTAAAATCACAGCTCTGACAAGTTCTCCTGAAGCCTCCAATATGGAGAGTTATCAGGGAAGGCCTCCTTGAGGAACTAAGGGGAGCAGAAACTTGATTGGAACCACGGGGGTGAAGATGGGGATGAAGAGGATCCCAGCTAAAGGAGTGTGAGTGTGTGTGTGTGTGTGTGTGTGTGTGTGCAGAGGCCCAGTGTTAGGAGCAGACGTGATGAGGGGAATCTGAAGGCCAGGGGGTGCAAGGTCCCCAAGGAGGCTGGAGAGGCTGCCAGGGTGGGGAGGAGGGGTAGGCAGACCCCTCCAGGGCCTTGAAGGACGCTTAGAGGTTCCCAGGGCAGTGGAACCCCTGAAGGGTAACACTCTGGAAGGAAGTGGTAGGGGAGAAGTGGGAGTGACAGCTCAGATTTGGACTTCTGCAAACAACACTCGGCCTGAGTAGGGGGTCAGAGAAGGCCATTGAGAAAGTAAAGTGGATGGAAGGAGAGGGGCAGGATTGGAGATTTTGAGGAGGTGAAAAGAGGTTCCTTGATAATGGATTGTGTGGGGAGAGAAAGGGAGGGAGCCCCCTAGGATGACACCTGGGTGATTTGGGTTCTCACGTGGCTGATGGTATCATTTGCTGAGATGAACAGTGTCAACCCCTTTCCTCTAACTCACACAGCCTTACACTGAAGATGTTAAGGTGGTCACTAGATGAACAAGTTTATACGAACAACAAATAGGCTTAAAAAGTGGTTTTTGACAAGGCGCAGTGGCTCACGCCTATAATACCAGCACTTTGGGAGGCGGAGGCAGGTGGATCACCTGAGGTCAGGAGCTCGAGACCAGCCTGATCAACATGGTGAAACCCCATCTCTACTAAAAATACAAAAATTAGCTGGGCTTGGTGGAGGGCGCCTATAATCCCAGCTATTCAGGAGGCTGAGGCAGGAGAGTCACTTGAACCCAGGAAGTGGAGGTTGCAGTGAGCAGAGATTGCACCATTGCACTCCAGCCTGGGTGACAGAGCAAGACTCAGTGTCAGAAAAAAGTGGTTTTCAACAAACGGTGGCACTTTTTGGTTGCCAAAATGACTGAGAGCACTGACGACATTTAGTGGGCAAATGGGGTCAGGGAGGCTCAAGAGCCCACAAAGAGGGTAAACATCCTATCATGGCAAGAATTGTTTCACCCTGAATGCCAATAGTGCCCTTGAAGAGAAAGAGTATAAAAGATGCCAGATATGAGAGTTACAATAAACCCTAGGATGTGCTAGGGATATTCCAGGGAATCATCCTGACCTTTACCCCCATAATTCAATAATTAGGGTCAGATGAAGCTAGAAGAACAGACGGCATTTTATGCTCATTTCGCTTTTTCGACCTTGTTTTTTTGAAGGGTGGGGGTGGTTTCCAGGAAGCTTTTCACAAGAATCTGAAAACGATGGCCTTCATCTGTTTTTTTTTTTTTTTTTGAGACACACAGTCTTGCTCTATTGCCCAGGCTGGAGTGCAGTGGCACGGTCTCGACTCTCTGCAACCTCCACCTCCCGGCTTCAAGTTATCCTACTGCCTCAGCCTCCCGAGTCGCTGGGACTACAGGCGTGCGCCACCACATCCAGCTAATTTTTGTATTTTTAGTAGAGACAGGGTTTCGCCATGTGGGCCAGGCTGGTCTTGAACTCCTGACCTCGTGATCCGCCCGCCTCGGCGTCCCAAAGTGCTGGGATTACAGGCGTGAGCTAGCGTGCCTGGCCGCCCTTCCTCTTATACTGTATTATTTTATGCTATATTAAATGTACATACAGCATTTCTGCATCATTTTTTCCCCCGCCTGGAAGGCTCCTCATTCCCTTGTTAGCTCCCGCTCCCTTCCTTCCCTCTCCCCCAGGTTTTCAGCGGCTGCGCACACAATACAGGCCTCTACAGGAAATAAACCTTGTTTTCTCGGTCATCCGCCTCCCCATTAGAAAGTAAATTCCACGAAAGACGGGCTCGTCCTGCTCGACATTGGGTCCACAAGTCCAGTCCTGCACCTAGTGCTCAAAAGGAGGGCATTTTCATACTATTTCAGGGGTTCCATAGACTCCAAGAAGTCCACTCACATGAGGCCTTCAATCCAGAACGCCTCACTCCGGCGCTGCCCGAGCAAGCCCGAGGTGGTCTGCGCAGGCGCGTTGCTGGCCCCGCCCGCCGGCGACGTCACGCGGCCGTTAGGGCGCTCAGGCGTCTCGACGCGCGCAATTTAAAACCAGCTCTGGAGACGCCGAAGCAAGATGGGACCTCCTGGCCCAGGTGAGGCGGCGCCACTGGGAGGCGCGGCGGGAAGGGTCCGAAGTGAAGCAGTGCTTCGGGCGGGCAAGGCTGGCAGGCTGGCCTGGGAGGGGAGAGGGGATATGCTCAGCCTGGGTCTCGGCCCTGCGGCCGAGGTCAGAGGCAGGTGTGGGGGGAGGGGAGGGAGGCCCCTGTGCGCTCAGCCAATCAGGATGCGGCTTCAGCCGGCGTCGGAGCCCGCGCAGGACCTGCCCCACTACTCAGTCCCGGCGCGGGCGGTGGGGCGGCTTCTTCACCAGGCTCCTGAAGCATGTTCGGTGTCTCTCCATTTAAAAGGTGGTTTTCCTGGAATAGACGTTATTTTCAGGGCCTTGGAAGCGATATGATTACCGTTGTATGCTTGGCAGGCATGGATTTATTTTT